GGCACGCATTCGCTGTGGCATTGTTTCGATAAGCTTCTGCAATGTCACAAGATTTATTTCCATCCAGTGTTGCATTAATTTTTCACCAAGATCTTGCATTGATGATGGTAGAGTCTGACCGCTGCGCAAAGCCTTCTCCAGCACATCCCAAAGATTCTCAATGGGGTTAAGGTCTGGACTCTGTGGTGGCCAATCCATGTGTGAAAATGATGTCTCATGCTCCCTGAACCAGTCTTTCACAATTTGAGCCCGATGAATCCTGGCATTGTCATCTTGGAATATGCCCGTGCCATCAGGGAAGAAAAAATCCATTGATGGAATAACCTGGTCATTCAGTATATTCAGGTAGTCAGCTGACCTCATTCTTTGAGCACATACTGTTGCTGAACCTAGACCTGACCAACTGCAGCAACCCCAGATCATAACACTGCCCCCACAGGCTTGTACAGTAGGCACTAGGCATGATGGGTGCATCACTTCATCTGCCTCTCTTCTTACCCTGATGCGCCCATCACTCTGGAACAGGGTAAATCTGGACTCATCAGACCACATGACCTTCTTCCATTGCTCCAGAGTCCAATCTTTATGCTCCCTAGCAAATTGAAGCCTTTTTTTCCGGTTAGCCTCACTGATTAGTGGTTTTCTTAAGGCTACACAGCTGTTCAGTCCCAATCCCTTGAGTTCCCTTCGCATTGTGCGTGTGGAAATGCTCTTACTTTCACTATTAAACATAGCCCTGAGTTCTACTGTTGTTTTTCTTCGATTTGATCTCACCAAACGTTTAAGTGATCGCCGATCACGATCATTGAGGATTTTTTTCCGGCCACATTTCTTCCTCGAAGACGATGGGTCCCCACTATCCTTCCAGTTTTTAATAATGCGTTGGACAGTTCTTAACCCAATTTTAGTAGTTTCTGCAATCTCCTTAGATGTTTTCTCTGCTTGATGCATGCCAATGATTTGACCCTTCTCAAACAGACTAACATCTTTTCCACGACCACGGGATGTGTCTTTCGACATGGTTGTTTAGAAAAATGAGAAGCAACTCATTGCACCAGTTGGGGTTAAATAACTTGTTGCCAGCTGAAAGATAATCGCCCATGCAATAATTATCCAATAGGAGGCTCGTACCTATTTGCTTAGTTAAATCCAGGTGGCGACTTTTTTTTTGGCCAGGCAGTGTATTTTAAAAGTTCAGTTTTAGTCTGACTAAAGCCTAGTTCACATTACATGATTTTCACCCCGATTTTGACGTCGCAGAGGATCTTGAGAGCCACCTTGGGTCGGAGGTGAGTCGGCAGATAGTCTGCCATGACAAGTCCTCATGTGTGAACAAGCCTACGAGCAAGTCGCCCCGTTGTCTGTGACTGGGACTGGATATCTGCAATGCTAGAAAACTGGAGCATCAGCCAATGAGAGGCGGGATACATCCCATGTCAGCACGCAGGAGGACGGAAGAAATGTGAGGAGGACAAGCCGGCACGCAACAACAACAATGGCGGCATCGACAGAATCACGGGGAGCGTGTTGAGTTTGGACCCAGGCCCTGGAGGCAGATCTGATTCAACACTGGAAAGAATATCCATGCCTCTACAATGTGTCGTCTGCAAGTTACCACGGCCGTCTGGAGAAAGAAAAGGCATGGAGGGTGATTGCAGATGGGCTGCAGGTACCAGGTGAGCATAGTGCTTTTGGTTACTACAAGTTTTTGCAACAGTACTAGCTATGCAAAATAAAAACATGCTGCTATAAATGCCAACCATTCCGATCAGTTTTAGAAGTTCACAACAAACACACTGTTTTTTGGCTTTTGGCGCTTTGGCTTGTGGAAATTTTGTAATATCACCTGTCTAAACATGTCGTTTGATAAATGAGGATACCTTCAGTGATCACAATTTGTTGTGTTCAACGTTGCTCTTGCACTACGTTGCGTCGTCAGGTATGGCATGCATTCACATTCCTCTCTGAATTTTTGTTCACAGTCAAAGAAGTGAAGACAAGGGTGGAAAGTTTGCGCACACAGTTCTCTTGGCTTATCAAGCCGAGACCTAGTGCGAGTGGGACCAAACCCTTAACTACGAGGCAGAGGTGGCTTCTGGCGGCTCTGGATTTCATTAAAAAGCACAGTGTCTATCGTGCGTGTGAAACAACTGTGAGTATGCTTTCTTTCCGTTACAGTTCGTAGTTGCATCAAGTGTACATAGACCACATGTTTGCATTTTACATTTGGGATGTGCTTTGGGACTATTTGAATTTTGTATCCAGCTGAATTTACCATGTGATGAGGAGTCTTCGAACCTGGACCTGTCAGAAAATCCAGATTCATCTCCACCGTCACTGTCTACGTGTACCACATTGCCATCTACCCTCGCTACACCAGATGAAGGCACTCCTCCTGCAGCTCCCCCAAGGGGAAGGAAACGCAGGAGGGAGGATGACATCGAAACACAAAAGCTTGACGTCCTGAAGCAAATGGCGGCGGTATACACAGAAAGATCCAGCCACTTTGTGTCATTTGGAAACCAAGTGGCTGTGGAACTCGAACTGATCAATGACTCAGCAACAGTTTCCAGGTTAAAAAAAAGACATCATGTGCCTTATTTATGATGCCCAGAATTTGTCCCTGACCTCTCCAGCACCACCATACTACACCAGCACACCAACCACACATTATAGTTTTCTCTAGAGCCTGAATGAACAATGACAATGCTTACTCATGTCTTAATGGTGTAATGTCTTTACATGTCTTGAATACTTATATTTTTCTGCACTTTACCTGCATGTTTGGTTTTTTTTTGTACAATTTGACTCTGTGTATTGTATTTTGTTTGCTGTGTATTTGCTTTTCAAAGTAGAACTTAAGACGGGAACAAGCTGTTGTTGATGGGGTGTAAGATGCCGACACATGTACAAGTGTAATGCCAATCGGTTTCTGAAGATGCATCTGTTATAGTTTAATGGCACTTGGCAGCATCGGGGGAAACACAGTGGGACAAGATTGAAAGTTAAGGCTGCAAAAGCCTGCGTAGAATGGATGGGACTTGTGGTGGATGGGTCCAACAAACACTTACTTTCAACTGGTGTTCGCATCCCATAAGATTATAAAGCCAAAGTTTTTGATGTATCGACGTGATGTGTTGATTTTGAAAGAGACAGTATGTAAATGTTAAATTTCCTGTGAAACAGAAGTGTATTTTGAAAGAAGACAATGCATGTAACAGGCAGAACTTGACACGGTGTCCCAGAACGTCAGCAACCAACACACCCAGGGTACCTCGCACGTCGTATCTGGATGTGGAAAGTCAATGACCAAACATTGATATGTGACGAGGTCGGAGTGAGAATGTGTTGGACTAACAAAATAAATCATTTTCCTCTAATGTCATGTAAACATCCTGACTGTTTAAATCCTAAATATACAACATGTACAATCCAATCTATATTCCCACTCATGCACACAACAACCTGCTTGGCCTCAGATCCATAGAAAACATTGCTTGGTAGGAGGTGTCCTTTCGATGTGTTGTAAGAGGAATGTTTTATTATTTTTCAGTGATAAATGACTTTGAACTTGGATGAATTTCCTGTGAACTTTGTCCCTCAACAGCACACAGAGAGATGGAATAACTGACAGAACTGAAAATGTGTATTTCTTTTTCCCCATCGAGCCCACAATATCTTCCATGTAGACTCGAGCGCCGTACAGATGTTGGCCAAATGTTGAGACATTAATAAAACAAGTTTTCCTGGCACACGGCCGCACCAGTCTAACCACTCAGCTCTAACAGTTTTTATATGAGGATTAAATAAGTCATGAAGGAAGCACAGCCAAAACGTTCATCACTTAATCAAAACTGCATCACCAGTTTGAAATGTGTCAACATACCAGCAAAATGAACAACACAATACAATGCAATATAAAATGTTCTGTGTGAAGAAATACACCTGAACACATCGTTTGGAATTCATTCAGCTGTGAGTGTAGGCTGTAAAAATAATAGACGCAGCCAGACGTCAATCATTGTATGTTGGACTCCTGTTTTGAAGCCTCAAGTTTGACATTTTGGCAGTCAGCATCTTGGATTTTTGGAGCCAGAGGTGACCATAAAAGGGTGGTGATAACTGTAACACTAGCGGCTAGCTTGGTTAGCACAGTGTCTTTACAGCTGTGGTTGTTCTGGGATAATGATAATGCTCATTAGCAAAAAGCAGGCTGAAAACCATTCAAACCAAATGTACTTCCCTAAATACATTTAATATCCAACTCTTTAGAGTGCTGGACAAGACTTTTAAGGGTCCAAAATGTTACAGTTAATGTTCATGAACTCCAAATACACTGAGATACAACATGGCTACAGCTACATTCTGTGAATCTGGGGTTACACCATGGTCATGTTACCTAGCCAACGTTGTTGCTCCAACACAGTCTCACCAAAGTCATCGAAAACTTGCACTTGGTCAGTGACTTCTGGTGTCTAAGATTGGGTGACACCCCTTACCAAGCTTTTAAAATGTTCGCTTGACTCCTGTCCACCCTTTTGCACCCTGACAAAGACTTTAGGGTTGAAACCCATCGGTGTTTTGTTGTAAGCAGCCATGTTTTGAAATAAAGGCTTTTTAACTTAATTCAAATGTATCTGTTCCTGCTCCACGCATGAGCCCCTGAAGTTCATTTTTTTTCTGACCCTTTTCTTCAAGAGTAAAAGTATCATATAAAAGACGGTCCTCAAGCATACTACTATTTCGTTCCTCCAAGTGATCATTAAAGGCCACAGTGTCTTTGTCACATGACGAAGCAGACGAGACGACGCTGCTTGGCCTCGTCAATGGAACATTTACATTTAAAAAACGCCCAGGTGGAACTGCTTATAGGAGTGCTGTTCACTGCAATATCTACAGTAAGGAATTTTCGTACCACTGGAGTCCTTCAAGCCTGAAATATCACCTCAATGCAAAGCATTTAGCAGCGAACCCAGAGGACAGAGCTAGCACAGCCTTTGATGCTAGAGCTAGCAGCCAGCCTCGTCAAGCCACACTCAACCAGACGTTCAGACGCAAACTGCGTGAGTCTACCTGAGACTCCCTTATACAAGGGAGCCATGATGAGTACGATCTATGCATGGTTGGACAACCCAGTGAAGTTCGAGAAGTCTCATGGCATCAATAACACCCTGGATCCTGAGATTGTCCCAAAGTCTGACCACAAGGAGGAGAAGACTCACATCGTTATTGTGGAGGGCTTTTTGCTTTACACCTCTGGACCTTTGATCGACGTGCTTAACCAGCGCTACATTATTTCCATCCCATACGAAGAATGCAAAAAGAGGTGGTACTCTAGGAACTACACAGTGCCAGACCTCTTCTTCCTCTTCGACGGCCATGTCTGGCCCATGTATTTGAAACACAACAACATCACCTTTAACGAACATCCCCCGTTAAAGGGTTTTGTTTGGGGAGTTTTTCCTCATCCGCTGCGAGGGTCCAAAGGACAGAGGGATGTCGTGCGTTGTAAAGCCCTGTGAGGCAAATTGTGATTTCCGATATTGGGCTTTATAAATAAAATTGATTGACTGATGATTAATACAATGGAGTGCAGATCAGAGTCGGTGGTAGAGGACGGGGGGACAGTTGTGTCCAAAATCCAGCAGCTTTACTATGACACATCTGACTGTAATGGACAGGAAAGCCAAGTGTGAAGGGGGGAGAGAGAGAGAGAGAGGGGATGACATGCAGCAAAAGGTCACAGGCTGGACTTGAACCCGGGCCGCTACGCAACAGCCTTTTACATGGGGCGCCTGCTCTACCCACTAATCCACCGATGCCCCTGCTAAAATGCATTTAAATTGATGTTTTCTAAATACTTTCACGGCAAAAATTGATGTTTGCGATTAATTAAGATCAATTAATCACAGAGCATGTAATTAATTCACTTTTTAAATCACTTGACAGCCCTGATAGATGGGGTATGTTAAATATGAAGAGATCCTTGTGTGAATGATGAAACTAGGCCCAGACTCCAGAGTGTGCGGCTCGGAGCTCAGAGGACACTCAGGGTGGTCCTTACAGTGGTCTGTTCTTCCACTTATCCATCCATCACTTTCATCTGTCAACCAGCCCCTCATAAATATGTGGACGAGGTTTTAACTGACATCTTAGACTGATGGATTTTCAACAACTGGGGCAAATCTTGTTAAACAACTGCAGATTCATGTTTTCTGTATTTTGCAAAGAAAGAGGAAACTGCTGGGAGCTTAAGTGATGTCAGTATTTTTATGTAATTGTCTGACCAGTAAAGTATTGTTCTGCTATTTTCAGTCTGTTTACTTTGAAACTGTTTGGCAAACTGTCTGAAGTATGATGTTTCCTGCCCTTTGCTCAACTTTGTGAGCTCTCTGGGTTTGTTGGTTTCTCATGTGTGATTCTGTAGACTAACAATGGGTCTAGTTTGGGCATTTATGTGGCACCTCAGGGGTCCAAGGATCTAATCTCCACAGAGATATGACCTTTTCCTGTTTCCCAGTGTTCTCCTCTGAATTAGCGTCGTTGAGGATTCAAAACAAATGTCAAGGAGAAAATGTGGAAATATCAAGATGAAGGAGGGCAGAGTGCATCCTGGTGCAGATTAACTTATTAAAATATTTGGATCCATCAGTCCAGATACTTAATCCCCTCGCTGTGGATCGCTGGATGCGTGCGAACAGAAAACAGTTCAAAGGTGGGATTATCTCTGACTCTCGCACCAAAAATGGACGTGAAATGAAAAGAGAGCACAAAGTCAGTCACAACAGATTGACCCATGGAAGACTTCACACTACTTTTTCACAACTTTTGATATTTGATGCGACTTTATAACTGTTAAATCCAGTTTGTCCTGGAGAAATATTCTTCATCCTATCAAAACACTCTATGTTTTTACATTAATTATTATTATTACGTTAGGATTTAAAGATTTTGCAGTGTTGTTATTGTTGGCTTGTCCCTCATTTGTCAGGATCAGGGGAGGATGGTCAGTCTTGCAGGCTTGAAGGCGGCTGTGGAGCCCAATCCGTGTGGTTGGCGCGCACATGGGAAGCCTTGAAGTTGTATTCAGTTATCCAGTTGTACTTCTTTTGTTGTGTTTATAGAGGCAAAATATGATGTGGTCTATATTCAACATGATGTAAGACCCTTTCACACTTGACAAAATGCCCACTAACATCCTCTAACACCTGTCTTTCATATCTAATGAGAAAGGTCACAATTAGCATTCAGTCCTGGGGCAAATTACGCTGCAGTGGTTACGTGTACTGACTGGCTCCACCTCCGATTGGCTTTAATTGGCAGTGATTGTTTGTAATAGTCTTTAATGAAACCACTTGCAACACACAGAGCAAACAGGCCAGTGAAACAACGAGCAAGATTAACTCCTAGGCCTAAGGCTTCCCAGGACACAGGTTTAGTCCAGAACCTTTGGCGAGCCATGCCAAAGCAGAGAGCAGGAGAGTCCTTGGTGTCAGTTCAGTAAGGTGCAGCGGTACCATGAAGGAGCAAACAAGAGGCAGTAGCCATGTTTCCATCAGCCTGTTTAGATGCGCATCTAGAAGTATCGCGTCGGAAAATTATGATGGAAACGTCAAAATTCGAATTAAAATCCCCTGATTCGCACAAACTAAAATATGCTCGCTTTAGCCGGGTTTTGGTCGAATCGAAAAAATGTTAATTCGCAAAACGGGGGATGGAAACAGTTATGTTTGAATTAAGTCTGATGTAGCGCACCTCTCTCCATGGTGATATCCACACTCCAGGTCGGGAAGGCGGTAATGCATTTACAAGCTGGTTGCCAACCGCCAGAAAACTTAGAAGAAGAAGAATGCGAGACTTGTTTTGTTTCCTGTTCTGTTGAAAACTCGCTTTAGTTCTTAGTTTTCACCAAAGTCCGTACATTTAATGGAAACACACAGGATTCGTATTTCTTTTAATGTGCATTTCCCAATGATTCGAATCACTTTTGGATGGAAACATAGCTAGTGTCAGAAAGGCAGAGGATCCAATATCAGGTGTACACACAAGGAAAACCAACACACCTGTTAGTAGTCAGCTGTAGGTGGGTTGGACCAGCGAGGATTCAAGAAACCAGCGGTGATGATGAGTGGATGCCGCAGCGCACACACAAAGGCAGAATGTGCAGCCACGCGATGAGGTAACCACAGGCAGCAGGACAGGTAAACACAGCCACGAGGAACAGGCGAAAAAAAACCAGGAACGTGGAAGCAGCACTCTTGGTTGGTGACAGAAGGCTGAGTGGTTTACCGGGAAGCAGGTGAAGCAGGTGAAGCAGGGGAGCAGGGGAGTCAGAGGCAGGCAGGGTTGGCAACGAGGAAGCAGGGAAGTCTTGCCAGAAGTCAGATTATGACCGTTTTCTTTTGTCCCATAGTCATTGAAGTAAATATTGGACCTATTTTTATTTTTATTATTACGAAGATATCACAGAGGCTGGTGTGAAGTGGAGTGGACCCAAGTATGTCCGACTCTGCTGCGATAGTTGGCCATAAGACCCCTTTCAGCTTCTTAGTATTGGACCTTTTTCAGGTTGATCTATTACGTCACAGACGAACAATCGACAAACAAGTTAGCTACGGTAAGCTAGCGGCAAACTGGTACCATGGTGGACAACTTTACAGCTCTGTACATTTCCTACGTGCTGTATGCTTTACTTTTTCTTGTAGCGCATTTAATGCTAGACTCGACTTCCGGGTCAAAGCCCTGGTTGGAAACTGTGGAGCATGCTCAGAGCGCCTTGGAGCAGTTCGCATTATCTGGGTGTGTTAGCCTGATGTTGAGAAATTTGACTTAGTACCATTTCAGTCAGACTAACATGATTAAATGTATTTTAAAAGTCCAGTTTTAATCGGACTAACACAATAAATTGATTTTCTCTAATGACATGTAAACGTACTGAGTATCACTGCCGCTGCCACCGTGTATAGATGTGGCAAATCAACTCTGACTGAGTGTGTCAGGAAACGGATCAATATCGAGTATGAGAGTCCTGCGAGACTGAGTCTGGACTTTTCAGAGCTGCGTTCATGAGTTCTAATTGTTGTCTATTTTTACCACAATTTACCATAAGAACAAAGCAGGCATGACTTACGACTTGCACGATCCAAATCTTCGTCGTAACGTGTGATTTTCAGTAAGTAGGTTGTTAGCTCGGAGGTTGCTTTCTGTAGTAAAGCGGATTTGGAAACTGTAACATAGATAGCAGAGGGAAGGGAGAATGCTGGCTCCAAATAGCGCCCACTGGCAGGTTTATAACCACAGTCTGGTGAGTCAGACTAACCTGCTGGTGGCTGTGTGTGTTTTTTGGAGGCACATATAACTCCTTGTTGACTGCCTGTGGGCGTCGCATTTTGAAAGCAGCTTGGGTTTGTGTCAAATGTATGTAGTTTTGTTGTTGTTGTTGTGTATGCTATCTTGGTTAGATAGGCTGACTCTTGTGGTGACTCTAATGTGAACAAATTTTGTCAAACTGACTTTAGGTGTTATGATTTGTGATCTAAAGAGACACCACGTGTTTTCAGTGTCGTATTACGTTGAGGTAGAGGTCGATCCACAGATAAAAAAGAGTGACTGTTGATTGTTGCCACATCCAGTTTTGCAACAGCAGGAAAAAAATGAGGAAGAAAATGAAAAATCTGACTCCATGTACTACGCTGGACGTTATCAGATACTGGGAAGAGTCAATGCTTTTTTTGGCAACAATGTCTTATCAATCTCTGCAAAAGCATATAGAACTGAAGATAACCCGTGTATAGCCGTGCTTCTCTCCTGGGTGCCAGCCGGTGCAGCATGAACCTCAGTAAACCCAAAAGAAATCATTTTTTTTCTACTAGTTATTGATATCTTATTATAGATATCAGAATATTCATGTATTTTGTTTAAATTTATAGTATCTGTGTACACTTAACATTAATTTTATCTCCTTATCTTGTAAAATGTAATATTCATGCTAAAGTGTTTTGTGGTAGACGTGTCGTTGCTGATGCCTTTGTTGCTGATGTGCACCTGCTGGACTCTTTGCTAATCAGCTTGTGATTATTTAACAGGAGCGCCTGATGGCGATTAAGCACAGAGTGAATCTGATGAAGCAACATGTGCTGGGGCTCTGATTTCCTTGAGGGACTGTTCATTAATTATGAGGGGAGAGGGGGTGGTGCAGAAAGGGGAAGGCAAGTCAAAGCCTAGGGGAGGAATATAAAACTTTAAATGGTTGTATTTTGTATTTTTAACCAACCATTTTTAACCATGTTTACCTTTGAAATCAAAGGAAAACATGTGCAAGTAATCGTCTTTCATTTGGAAGCAATGTTTTCTTTAGAAATTAACAAAATTACACTATTTATCACAATCAGAAACAAAAACAGAAATGATTGGTGGATTTTCAAATATGTGATTGTCCATGAAAACATTATGTGCAACAAACAAATAAATTTTAACCTTTATTTTAGGATTTTCAATATAAAACATACGCTCAGTACATCACTTTAAAGCCCCTACAAGGAACTTTCATTTTGAGTTGATTTTGGCGATCCTGTGGACAAAAGCGGTAGTGTTTTGCCGGAATGAAGCCTTCATTTCCCATGAGCTCTAGCGCGTATTGTCGTAAAGACGCTTACCTGGCTCGCTCATGTGTTTGTTTTGGGGATGAATGAAACAACAAGACGGGAAAACTTTGCCCCCGCTCCTATCGGGGATCCCAGCTCACCTGTGCCGCGCCCCAGCTCCACCTCTTCGACGTAAGCACCACCACCGCCAGAGTAAACGCAGCGGTTGTCTGGTAAGGCTGAAGGCCTGTTTGGCAAGCACTTCCACGGCTTCTTGGACTGAGTATGGAGCGGTGCCTCGGCACTCGCTGGACCCTGTCGACGCCTGGCTGGTTCCTGTCGTCGGCCCGGATGAGGTGTTCCAGCCCCGCGGCCCCACTGGCGAGGGGTGAATCTGCACAACCTGCGGCCTCTGTGTGTGGCTCCCCGGACAGCTAACACCGTGGACCCGCCGGCTCCTGCCAGGATTGGGCTGGTAAATGCTAGATCGCCATCGAACAAAACGTTTATCCTGAAGGATTTCCTGACTTCCCGAGGATTGGATTTTCTCTGTGTGACTGAGACGTGGCTGACTGTTGGTGAGTCCAGTGCTTTCACAGAACTTTTACCCGATGATTGCTGCTATTTTAACTCCCTGTGGACGTCGGGTCGAGGAGGAGGAATAGCGACTATTTATAAGAGTCACTATAAATGTAAGCAGCTAGGTAAGATGACGTGTGGTGTCCGAGTGCCGTAAATCGTTTTGTCCTGGAAGCGACCTGGGGCGGACCCGCAGACAGTTTCCTAAAGGTATGGATATACACTATATAGAAATAGCTTATCTTCACACCGATGGTCTCATTTGTTGTAGGTCACGCACAGACATCAGCAGAAATGAGAGACTTTTGCATATCCAGTTAAAAGTTCCTTGTAGCGGCTT